CCTTTTCTTTTTTAGGATTTTTTAGGATTATTAAAATTGGCCCCATTCTCCCCAGGGGTCCAGAGTGTCATAGGATTCTCTGTCCCCAGGAGTGGGTCTGGGTCAAGGGACATAAGAAAGAGGAACTGAGGAAAATAACTCAGTGGCAAGGCAAGGAGCCTTCATTAAACTCACAGAATTAGGGTTGGGATTAGGTCTGAAATCTAGGATTAACTTTTACAGATGATGTTGGGATTAGGATGAAGATGGAGGCTACAGTTTGGATTGGACATTGGGACTAATGCCAGGGTAGAATGAATTACAATGATGGAAGGGTTTGAACTGGGAGTTAGAGATGTGGGGTAAGAATTAGAATCTGAGTTGGAGGACGATCTGCTACCTCTCAGGTCTCTACAAGTGTTTCCTTTTGGCCATCTCTTGTAGGGCTAAGGTCTTTGGACTCAGTATTACCAAGAAAGCAGCCCTTGTGAGCTCCTGCCCTTTAGTCACACCTGGCTCTTTCCCACACAACCTCAGTTGCTACTTCAAGAGCTCTGGCTGCTGAAGCATTAATATTATCCTTTATTAGACCCTACTGAGCATGTAGATGGCTCCTTTTAGGCCAATGGTGATTGCAAACTACACCCAAGAGTCACATCACAGGTTCATCTGGAATGTAATCTACACTAGGAAATAGTCAAGACAATTATGACAAAAGCACTTCTGTCAATTACCCCCATACTTTGGTCCCCTAATTTGATGATGCCCTGAAATTTTGTCTTCTCTGAGCTTTCAGCCAACTAAGTGGGCATGTTATAGGAACTGGTTCAAGGGCTCTTCTGATAGAAACCTTGGGAAGATGAACACTGGGTCTCATTTCGTACAACTCAGTGTGATGAAAAGGCTCACAGTGAGCTTCAGTGTCTTCTAGGGAAGGTGTGATAGAAAATCCCCCAGGATAGTCTGAATAGGGTGACAATTCATATATGGGCTTCACATTGGTTATTTTTTTCCATTCAACAAACATTTATTAATGTCTACCTAAATGTGTCCTGGGCATTGTATGTGGGCATTTTTTTTGTGGTGAGCAAAACGGACATGATCTTTGGAGAGAAAACACACAAATAAATATTTAATTATAAACCATGATAGGTTCTACAAAGGAAGATAAAATGGGACAATATAATATTTATTTATTTATTTATTAAAATGTTTTATTTATTTATTCATGAGAGTCAGAGAGAGAGAGAGGCAGAGGCAGAGGGAGAAGCAGGCTCCCCGCCTAGCAGGGAGCCCAATGCGGGACTCAATCCCAGGACCCCGGGATCATGACCTGAGCCGAAGGCAGACGCTTAACCATCTGAGCCACCCAGGCGCCCGGGACAACATAATCTTAACTGGGGCTGGGGGTCAGTGAAAGCTTCTTTGAGGGAATGCCATTTAATTTTAGGCCTCAAATAGTTTAAGTAGGAGTTAGTTTGTTGGAAAATTCTTGAACATGTCTACTGTTCTTTTTTTTTTTAAAGATTTTATTTATTTATTTAACAGAGAGAGACACAGTGAGAGGGAACACAAGCAGGGGGAGTGGGAGAGGGAGAAGCAGGCTTCCCAGCGAGCAGGGAGCCCGATGCGGGGCTCAATCCCAGGACCCTAAGATCATGACCTGATCCGAAGGCAGACGCTTAACGACTGAGCCACCCAGGCACCCCATCGTGTCCACTGTTCTTTATGCTTTTTGATTTCAGGCTGCAATTGACTCCTTTTTTGGTCTCTGGTAGGTACCTTTGGAATCTTTGTCAAGAACATCACTGACCTTCTTTGAGACCCACAGGCTACAAGGATGGGCCTCTGGCAGTCCTGTATGCATTACAAAACAAAGAGCCTAGACTGGCTCAAAGCAACTTTATCAAGAATGGACAACCTGACATAAATTTGACCAGTCAGGTTCTTTCTCCTGAGAACTGGGATTCATAGATAACTGATTAATTTCTGTTGGTTCTTGAAGTGAGGCAAGGCAAGCGTGGACAGTCACATTCTGCTGTGTTCCCAGAGCAGCAGTGAAAGCAGATCTGCAGAGTGAGAGATGGAAGAACATGTGACCAGAGAGAAAAAGAGATAATGAGGGACTAGCTACTTGGCTTCTGTTAGTATTTTAGACCCCTCTTCTAGTCCTTCATGAGATCTTTTTCCTCTCTGTGTCCTTGGGTTCTTTAAGAGTATTTTCTTCCATAAATTATTAATTAATTCATTAATTTTTGCATGAAGTTCCAGTGGTTTATGTTTCTTGCAGATGAAAGAGGCTTGACTAAGAGTGGCTTCTTATCAGATTAGCTCTTCCATGCAGCAAACATGGATTGAGTTGGCTTCAATCCCACAGAGACTGGTGGATCCCACAGGTGCACAGATAATGAACAAACATAGCAGCATATATAGAAATAAAATAGCATTTGGTAATAAAATTAATCTGGGTAATACCCTCTAAGGGTCTTGTATTTCCCCCCCCCCACCCCCCGCTGGGTTGAGGGTACACAGCAGCTATTTTTTTTTTAATTTTATTTTATTATGTTATGTTAGTCACCATAAATTACATCATTAGTTTTTGATGTAGTGTTCCATGATTCATTGTTTGCATATAACACCCAGTGCTCCATTCAATACGTGCCCTCCTTAATACCCATCACCCGGCTAACAACCCCCCCCACCCCCCTCCCCTCTAAAACCCTCAGTTCATTTCTCAGAGTCCATGGTCTCTCATGGTTGGTCTCCCAGCAGTTAGAAATTTCGAAGAGCCAAACCTTCTGGAGCTAGGTTTTGTGATGAGACCAACACGTATATTTCTTGGTCCTGTAATGGAGATCATGTGGGTTGGGGAAGGAGGGACCAATTCTGCCTTGTCAAGAGTATGGAAGGGACTGAAGAGATAACATATGTCTAAAGGGGCAGTAGGAGTGTGCTGGGCAAGAGAGAGGAAGAGCAGTGGGGCAGAGGGGAATAGGAGGGACAAGGCCTTAGAAAATTTTGTGCACATACTGGGTACTTGGTAAATGCTTGTAAATATGAAAACTGGCAAACAGACAGGTAGGCAAGCAGTTTGTAAGATGACAATCACAGTATATACTAAATTTTCCTTTTGGTTTTAGGGTTTCCTTTTCCATATATAAAAGATCATCAAGATGCCAATAGAGAGAGAGTCCCACTTAATCTTGGTCTGTTAAACTCCAAGGCTCTAAGTCTTTCATGAATGTGGCAATTTTATGTCAGTGAAGATTTAAGGGCAATATGAGTCCAGTGAAAGCTAGTGTGCTGTATGGTCTCATCCATTCTATGGACTTTTGGACAGAAATATTTATTGAAGGGGGCGCCTGGGTGGCTCAGTCGTTAAGCATCTGCCTTCCGGCTCAGGTCATGATCCCAGGGTCCTGGCATCGAGCCCTGCATTGGGGTCCCTGCTTGGCCTGAAGCCTGCTTCTCCCTCTCCCACTCCCCCTGCTTGTATTCCCTCTCTTGCTGTGTCTCTCTTTGTCAAATAAATAAATAAAATCTTAAAAAAAAAAAAGAAATATTTATTGAAGGCTTGTGAAAATCCACAAAGTTGAAACTCAGTATTACGAAAATCAGCACTCTCCTTTGCGGGGTGCGTTGGCTGTAAATGACTTGATTTTTGCAATCACTGTCATCATCATCAACAGCATCTTTAAGAGAATGCTAAACTAAATGTGATCTTTGCTCTTTAGAGGCCAAAAGAAGTGTCATAAATGTTAAGTTCACAAATCATGCACAAATATAATGGCAGATATAGAAATAATATTAATCTACGTAATACCCTCTGAGGGTCTCGCATTCCTGCCAAGTAGCAGGGACCTAGAATTTCGCCCACAAGGGTCTCAGCTGTGGGCCACCTCTCCAGGAGATATGGTGCAAGTTTCCTTCGCGTTGAAATTTGTCACCAACAATCGCATTCTACTCACGATTGGCTGGAACTCAGAATGAGTTCAAGATCAAAGACATGGAGTGCTAAAGGCTTATTTTTTAGTGGCTCGAACTTCTTTGGTTACATCAATTTTCATCACTGATTCGGTTACATCAATTTTCATCGCTTAGTTCCCCTCTAAAAACCAAACGTGTCCACTCTAGAAAAAGAGAGGTTTTCCTAGTCTAGGCATAGGGAGTGGACTTGCGTCTCTGAGGATGGGGGGCATCTATGAGTGAGAAGGGGCACGGAACTTGACCGAGACACTACCCTCCCGCCCTTCGGGCGGGGCATTTCCCATTAAGTTCATTACTGCCAAGAGGAGACCAGTTCTCCGGGTGGAACTGGAAGAGTGGGTCCAGTGTGGGGGGACTGGGAAGATAGCGATTTCTAGGGGATTGGCAGTTAGTGGAGAAATGGTCTCTGGCATCGCCCAGGGCCCGCAGCAGCCGGTTCCGTCCCTCCCCGCAGATGAAGTGCCCCGCTGCCCCGGGAGAACCAAGACCCACTTCCGGGTTTGGATGCACTCCCTCCTGGCCCCTCCCAGCACCCGGTTACGGGGTCTCCGGACGCATGCGCAGCACTCGTCTGCCGCTCTGGGACTGGCCCGACTTACCCTAAACAACTAATCCGCTCCTCCCCCTCCCGCTTGGGGCGTACCATTCGCGTTTGAGGGGAGGCAACGCGTCCCAGAGTGCTCAGAAGCCTGCTCCCCTTCTTCAGACGGGGAGAAGGTAAGTTTGCCTCAGATTTTAAAAGTTCCAAGAATACGAGAGCCTCAGAGGCCCTTCGCCGAGTGACAGCCCGACGCTCTCGGCTTTGCCCACAGCCCAATACTTTTCCTTTGAGGCTCTGAACAAAGTGGCACGCCCGGATCCCAGCTGATCAGCTGCTGAGCTTTGGCGGCGGCTCCCCCGGGCGAGACCATTGTGACTCCTTGGGAGGGGTGTGTGAGGAGGGGAGGGGGCGGAGCGGCCATTGTCCGGTCAGCGCAGCCTCCGGGGGAGGGGAGAGTGACGGAGCGAGCGGGGCCCTTGGCTTCATAGCGGCCGCTGCTACGCCAGAGCCGGCGGGGGCCTCAGGTCCTTCCCAGTGCCGCCGCACGGGACATCGCTCTGGCTGCGAGCGGCGGTGGGAGCTGCCGAGGGCGCCGGGTCTTCCCTCCTCCCCCGCGGTCCTCGGTTCACCCGCACGCCCCTCCTCCTCAGCTCCCCTCCCTCTCCTCTCCGCGCCTCCCCCGACCCCCCCGTCTCTGCAGGCCGAGTGGTGCGGCCCGCCTCCAGCTGACCGGCCTGGAATCCCGGCTCGGAGCCCCGGACTCGCGCCCGCCCGCGCGTCCGCTCCCTCCCCCTCCCCCCCGCCCCGAGCCCCCCGACGCCGCCGCCGTCGCCGCCGCCGCCGCCTCCGCCTCCGCCTCCTTCGAGCGGGGCCCAGGCCCAGCCGCCGCCACCGCTGCCGCCGCCGAGCTCCGCCGCCGCCGAGCACCATGGGAGACGCCGGGAGCGAGCGCAGCAAAGCGCCCAGCCTGCCGCCTCGCTGTCCCTGCGGCTTCTGGGGGTAAGTGTCCGGCCGAGTGGGGGCGGGGGCCGGGGGCGCGGGCGCGGGGGCTGCCCGTGCAGGCCTTGGGGCCGCGGGAGGCCGGAGCCCTGGGGGCTGGGCCCTAGCCGGGCCTACTGGGAGGAGGCAGGGGCCGCATCTCGGGGAGGGGCGCTGGGTAGGGAGCTGGAGGTGGGCAGAGAAGGCCGTGTCCGGGGTGCTCTGCCACCCTCTGGGATTCTCCTGCCTGAGGTTTGGGCCAACAGGGGCCACCCGGGCCACGGGTGAGGGGGGCAGGGCAGCAGGGAGGGATGAGGGGGCGGTGTTGGCACCTCCGGGTGGAGCTGGGGTGTCCCTTTCCCTTGGCATGTGGAGGCCAGCCCTCCCTCCCCGCCTTGGTATGAGTTGGTGCCCAGGCACCAGGAGGGTATTTCCTCTGACTTTTTCACCCCCCCGCCCTGTCCCCCAGAGACTTGCATCATCACTTCCTAAATTATATCCCAGTGCCCTATTTGCTTTTAGGAAGCTGTTAACACGTCACCCATTTTTTAAAAATCCAGCCCAGAATCCAGGCTAGTGTAAAGTTATAAGACTGTAGAGCTCTCACCTTTATTTAAAACATGTTTCAGAAGATCTGTAAAATTTCCTTGTCTTAAAAAAAAATAAAACTCAAGTCAGCCTGGCTTGGGAACGTGAAAGCCAGTTTGCTCAATTGGCTCAAATTCCTTTCTCCTCATTTTTTTAAATGATAAAAATATTCACATCGGCCAGCCTGCATTATTACTTGGCCATCCTGTGTTAGAGTGAAAAAATAGGAGGTGGGAAATCAACTTTTCCACATATAGTTAGATTTTAAATTGTCCTTGTAATGCTTGGAGTTTCGTGAATTTACCACCTCTCTTTCCTAACAGGTGCCTCCATCCTAACTTACGATTCTAATTGTAGTGTAAAGAAACTGGAGACTTTGAAGGACTTTTGTGATTGAGCCCCTTTTTCTTTCCTTTTCTTTTTTTTTAAATTTTTCTATAAGACATAGTAGATTTCAAGGTGCATAGAGGCAGTAAGGAAATGATTATTTCGGCGAGAACATCCTGGGAAGATGTATTTAAGTATTTTATTTTTGCTACCTCCCAGGTGTTAGGAATGGTTGAGGTACAGATTAAGTCTGATTTGGGGGAGTGCAGAGAAAGATGAGAAAGTGGATCTTAATGTAGTTTTCTGTGGAATTTGTCAAATTCAAAGTTCGCAACAAAGAAATAGATTTTCATTTTCTCATCTTTCTGCCTTTTCTTTCTCAAAAAATTCCTGGTGGAAAGATGTTAGTCAAAAATAAGTTATGGTATTACCAGAGGTTTTGAAGATGTGAAAATATTTTAGGTTTTATAGTCTTCCTAATAATTGGGTTGTCGGCTAAGCGCTTTCACAGGTCATCGAATTCCCAGAAATCTTAGGAGGTAGAACCATTATCTCTTTATAGATGAGGAAGTTGAAGCTTAAGAGGGTGGATAACTTGCCCCTTGCTTACAGGGAGTTTAGAGTGGAGCTGGTGAGCTCTCCAGAGTGCTTGGTACCATCACGTTTATATCAGTCTACTGCCCTAGAAAAATCTGGTGTCACAAGCCTCTGATTGTAACTCATAAGAAGACATGTGGCTCAAAGAAAGTAGCTGCCAGTGGCAACTAATGCCCAGGTTGTTTCAGAGGCTTGTTTCCTGGCAACGTTTATGTCCTTGGGACCATTATCATGAGTGGAACCCTTATTGAAAGACTTACAGCAAGATGGAGAAATTAAGGAAATGGAAAAGCCTTTTACTTTTAGCCAGCAGAGTTCTGAATAATGCCAAGAAAGTTTGATAGTTGCAGGGAGGAATAGTTAAACTGATCCCATACCTGACCTATAAGCAATCAGGCCTGCTTTTTTGTTACTTTGAATTTGGCCCTTTTTAGGAACTGCAGTTTGCCTAACAGGAGTTGTGAGCACAAAACTAATATTTTTATGTTGAAGAGAGTTCTTTTTTACTGTGTAATGCTTTAAATTTTTCTAAAGGAGTTTGTAGGTAGCTGTGTAGTTTGCATTTTATACCAAAGTGTAATGATACTGCTGCCTAGTTTTATCATAACTGGCTTTGAACATTGTCCCTTATGTATGGGCCACATTCATACTATATTCATTAAGTAAACTTGAATATATTCAACAAATAATTGTCTCTAATACAGTGGTGGACAAGGGCACTGGCCCCATCCTCTGGGGGCAGAGGGCATAGAAAAGTAAAGGGACAGAATAAAGTGTGTTAGGATTGGTATAGGGTGCGATGGGAGGGGCACTTACCCTAATTGAGGTGGAGGTAGAGGAAGGTAGCCTGGAGGAAGTGACACCAGCCTAGGCCTGCAGGAAGGCTAGGAGAGAATGGAAATAGAGGAGTTTATTTCATGCGGAGGGAATAGCATGGATGAAGGCCTGGATGTGAGAGAGAGCACTCCACATTTGAGGAACCAGAAGTTCATTGGGGTTGATTGGTAGATTGTGAGGGGGGGGGATCCACTAGAGATGGTGAGAGAAGTTGGTGATGCAGGACTCTATAGGTAATGCCTAAATCTTTGGACTTTTATCTTGAGTTCACTAAGAACTATGGGAGAACCTTGAGCAGGTAGTGACGTGATTTTCTTTAATGTGAAAGATTGGATGATGTTGAGAGTGGCCTGGGTGTGTGGGTATGATTGTGTGTATGAATGTGATGTTTTTATGTTCGTGGGGAGTTGCCAGAAGTTCAGAAGTCTTGTCAGGAGGAGTAACCCAGAGTAGGGATGATTGTGTGTAGTAGCCAGGGAGAATGGAGAGAAGTAGGTAGCTGTGAAAGCCATTCAGGAGGTATCTTTTGCCTTTTCCTTTGATGAAAATGAAGGTGAGTCTGTTATCTGAAAACTTCAGTCAGCATTGCATTCTGTGGAAGCCGTACGTCTATAAAGTCAGCTAGCCACGGCCCACACCCAGCCCTTTGCAGAGGAGCCTCTAACCAGAATGTTCTGGCACCAGTAGACTGAAGGCAGTTCCTTAGGATTGCTCTTCTCTGTAGTGACTTAGGCTGCTGGACTTGCTGTTGAGTCAGGACACCAGTCAGTGGGGCTTGGTTAGATAGGAAAGCTGTGAGGTCTTGCTTGTGGGAATGCAATTAGAAAATGGAATGACAAGAGGAGCATACAATGCAAATGTGTTGAGTGCTTGAACAAGTAAAGTTTCTACTTTTCCTTCTCTTGATTTATATTGTATAATTGTGTGCAAGTAATTAAGTTATTTTATAGAGAGCATTTCTCCACTGGGAAGCATAGCTACCTTGGAAATTGTTGAAGATTTACCTCTTTGTAAAAGTCGTAAGGTGGGGCGCCTGGGTGGCTCAGTCGTTAAGCGTCTGCCTTTGGCTCAGGTTATGACCCCAGGGTCCTGGGATCCAGCCCCGCATCAGGCTCCCTGCTCAGCGGGAAGCCTGCTTCTCCCTCTCCGTCTCCCACTCCCCCTGTTTGTGTTCCCTTTCTCACTGTGTCTCTCTCTGTCAAATAAATAAATAAAATCTTAAAAAAAATTTGTAGGGTGTTTGCATGGTGTATACAATGCTTTTAGAGTCAATGATCATAAATAGTTTTTTCTCTGAGATATGTACTTAAAACTTTTAGTGAAATGTGAACGTTTTCTTGGCTCATTTTTAGGCATTCTGTAATCATGCGAAAAACATGCTAGTTTGTAATAGTCAAATCTGAAGTGAAATAGTATTTTTTTTAGTTGAAATATACTCATACACAAAAGCACTTTTAAACTACATAGGTATAAGTGTTATTAATTGAAGCTACATTTTAAATTGTTCAGACAGTTAAAATGTACTAATACATGTAAATTCATAGGTATTTTCAAAAGTTGTTGGAAGAGCAGACATTCTAAAAAAGAGGAAGAAGACTAAGACACTAATGTACTGAGTATTGCAGAATAATAAAAAAGGATAATTAGGTAGGATGGGGAAAGATGGACTTTTTTTTCTAATTTTACTTATTAAATGTAAAAATCCAATTGTTGATATTTTGCTTTTACAATTGGAGACCATCTCTATTGTAATATAATATGGAAAATTTTGGGAAGTACTATTTCTTTCATAATTTTATTTATTTATTTATTTTTTAAAGATTTTATTTATTTGTTTGACAGAGAGAGACACAGCGAGAGAGGGAACACAAGCAGAGGGGGTGGGAGAGGGAGAAGCAGAGCAGGGAGCCCGATGCGGGGCTTGATCCCAGGACCCTGGGATCATGACCTGAGCCGAAGGCAGATGCCTAACGACTGAGTCACCCAGGGGCCCCTCTTTCATAATTTTAAAGTATAGTATACATAAATGTGCAGTCTCATATTTAGGGAATAATGGAGTATTTAAATACGGAATTTATTTGGTAAACCATTCATTGTTTTTTTTTAGATTTAAATAATTTTTTTCTTGTTATGTTAATCACCATACATTACATCATTAGTTTTTGATGTAGTGTTCCATGATTCATTGTTTGTGCATAACACCGAGTGCTCCACGCAGAATGTGCCCTCTTTAATACCCATCACCAGGCTAACCCATCCCCCCACCCCCCTCCCCTCTAGAACCCTCAGTTTGTTGTTCAGAGTCCATCACACACGGATACATTTTCTTTAAGGAAATAGATATCAGTATTTTTTGTGATCTATTCTGTTGAAGCGTTTTATTCACCAACTAGATAGGCTAGATAACGATGTATTTTAAATAAAATGGGGTTAGGCAGAGATCGAGTCCTCTTACAAACTGTATTCCATTCCTGAAGAGGTTACTAGTAGAAGGTTGATTGAAATATAAGATGATTTGTTTTATTCCATTTTACTTTTGGGAATCACAAGGTATTAATTAGTTAGCTTAAATAGAATCTCTGTTTTTTTCTTTTTTCTCCCTCTGAGCTCAGGCCTTGGGAATTGATGTAGAACTCTGTTTCTGTCACTTCATGAGTCATCTGGCTAGTGTG